ATGTATACGTTTGCGTATGTACGCTATGTACCGCGAAATACTATTTCTGTAGTATTCTGTTGTACTCGGTATACGTTGTACAAATGTTCTACGAAAGCAAATTTTAAAGAAGTTGAATTGGATGTAACCTATATCGGATTAATACTAAATTAGTTAGTTAGTTAATTAGTGTACAAGTTATATCTAACAGATCAGTTCTGTAGATTGTTTGCAATAAAAGTTTTGACATCCGAACTAGAATCAAAACATTGTATTTTAAGTTTTAAATGGGTGTGACCCTAATCCTCTAGTCTACGGCCATATATGGAAACCCTAGGAGGTTGATGGCTGGTTGGCTGGATGACTGGAGTCAGACAAATCGATTTTAATTAAGCTAGGGGTGAATTATAAAACTGCAGGCTGAGTGCGGCTTAATGTGTAGGGGAGAAAAGCAAATCGTTATTTACTGTGAATAATGTAAGCAAACAACTTACGTACATACGTCTAACGGTCTTATGCCTCTTGATACCAATTCAAATGTTTGTATTGAAATTAAAATTTTGTAGATACAACTCAAAAGCCGTAATACGTTATAAGAGAAAAGTAGCGTCTCGATTATAACAAAAAAGTAGAATGCCTTCTTACATTACAATAAAATGAAGAGATATTATTTGCATAGAGTTAATGTCCAGGTAAGATGACATTCGGTTACATCTCTAGCATGTTCTTTTACATATTTTAGAAACCGTATCTGTCTACATCTATTTACAGCGTCGCCTAGTCTGTCTGTAACTTGCAGGTAATATGTAGGATAAATAAACAAAAAATACGAAACTCAACACATTGACTAACTACGGGGAAAACGGATAATTCCGATAAATTGGCGTGTTTACTCAGCAAATAATTACTGCTATTAGTACTGCCTCTTTTGATTGCTCTTTTCCTAAATAGACGAAACGAGGAATTTACGCTACATGGAACATTATATCCTGCGGGCGCTCGCAAAGGTCAAATATTGTTTTACCAGGAAAATATATCAAAGCTATATTTAATAGCTTATCGATGTTTAATTAATTATGAAACGCAATTATTATTTATATTAATATAGTCAGCTTTATAATGTCAACATATTTTTTTTATATTTTAAGTATAAAAAAATAAAGACTAAAATAAGTTTATTAATATGTTTTTGCGAATTTGATCTCATCAGGTTACTTGGAATAGCCAGACCGGAATGTGTTGTTGGTTTCGTCCTCGCCGATGTACTGGGCATTGTCGTGCTAAACGTCCACATGATTTTATCTGTTAGGAGATTGCAATAAGAGTTGGTATTGCTTGTCTACGAGAAATATGAATATGGAAAGAAACATAAAAGCTAGGGTAGTAGGATTGAGTGTGAAGCTTTTTAAAGTTCCCATTCCGATGTTGCAATGTCATGTATTTGCCTCGGAATGGTAAGCAATTACGCCAAAGGTGGAATCATATTTTGCTGCAGCAGTAAATGGGGATAATAAATTGCGTACATACACGTCGTCTTTGTACGAGCACTGAGCTAGCATTGCAGTTTTTGCAGCCATTATAAGTGATTTAAGTTATGCGGTGAATATTAGTCGTAAGTTGAGAATTTATACCTTGTTAACTCTACTTATTACACAGGGTGTGATAATTATTACTTGTGTACTCTTTCGTGACGACGTGACGGTTCTAAATCATTTTTTGCCAACTGTATAATGCTTAGCGCAGGTCCGGTCCGGTAAAATGTATGAGGACAGTTTTAATCAAGGGATTACATTGTGTTTGTTGACCATGTTTTATTAATACAAATTCTGAATTGAATTACTATTGATTATTATCCTGTTAGATCACTATCTATTTTGAACGAGTTTTTTGTGCTTTTCGTTTCTATATATCTTTTTGCAACAGATGATTGAAATTGTGAGTAATAAATCGATCCCAAGATACAGTTTCCCAAGCGTATTATCCATTTGTTACAATACAAGTGGGTAGCCTTCAACATGCGTTAACAGAACATTGATATCAAAGCGTGTGGTGTGGTCATCAAATCATTGTGGACTGCTAAATTGGCACGTCCGCTGCAGGTCAATACCTCGCAGTTATCAACGCAATCGTTTGTAAGGTTATCACACTGTGATCAATACATCCAGGACACTCATTGGCCCCATTTGTTCCCGATGGACTAGGGGACCGGTCCAGTCGGTCTGGTCGCACGACTTTGCTCCTTTTGCCTTTAGTCTTTTAATATTATACTTGTATGAACTAATTGTGTGCTGATTTTTTATTTTTTGCTTGTCTATATTCAATTGTTTCTTATCTCCTACTAGCTAATACAGTACGCCAGACGAATAGCAAATTTATTGTTCTTTATCATTTAAAAAGTAGTTGAAAATGTTGGTTGGTATTTAATGTTAATGAACTGCATTTCAAACTAGCAAATCTTAATGTAACACCATAGGCGTTTGAATTTAATGCGGCTAAGCTAAAATAATTTTATTCTGATTATTAAAACTAGATCGTAGATTAAATTGAACTATGTTATAATAAGAATAATAAATGAATGAATAAATTGTCTTAACATGTTCTGAAGTCGACAGAAATTACTGTGTGTCGAGGACTATAAATTCGTGATTGGATGAAATGCAAAAGTACTGAAACAATGAAACAATGAATTTATTTTTTCAAATGGGCCATAAAACGGCACTTTTACACGTCAAATTATATGTAAAAAACTAGATGAAGCCGGCATTTCCTATCTGACTACTCTGAGAAGAAATGCCGAAACAAACTCAGAGGTCAGTCGTGTATCCCCTTTAACATAACTTTGACCAGAGCTTTTGAGTTGGTAGTTCAAACACCAGCTGCAACACTGAATTACTAAACACATAGGTATTGATCGTAAGCCACACGACCGGAACAATATTATCGATCTTTTTAATATTAGTACGTATTTGGTACGTGTATGCCATCAACAGTAAAACCGCTAAAGCGCTAATCTACTTTTGGCTTTTAAAATTTCCAATTCAAATTTAGAATCATGCAATTTTATTCTCGCCTGCCAGTGCGAATTTCATCATGTTTATGTTGTTTTTGTTCTTTGATGTCTCTGGATTATAGCACAGATTAAATAGGTCTGGAACCATTAATGTTGTTTCTGAACATTTATAGTTTTAAATTCGTCTTTGGGATCACGTAAACGAGGTTTTTTGGCATGCATCGTACTTTATCACTGTGCCAAATTATTGTTTTTATACTGAAGATAAATGTACATCTAGTCTACATGGCGTCTATTTCGCAAAATATTTTCTTTTATTGACGCAATGCGGTAAACACTGCCAATTTTAGATTCAATTTCATGAGTGGGTGAAACCGAAACCTTTCGTAAATAGTGAAGTTCTTCTCCATGAGATAAACAAATTGTGCCTTAAGTCAATATCACAATACTGTATTTCAAAGGTACATAATATTTAATTTCATTACCACTAATGTCGTTACAGAAAGTAGTGTTTAGTACCTAGACCGCAGACGGGTCTGGTCGAATCGATATTTCGCTTAACTAGGGTCAGAATTAATTCCATGCAAAATAAAGTAACGAAGTATTAGGAACGCTTGTAACACAAAGAAATGTTCGTTCCCAAGTACAAACACATACAAACACAATAGGTACACGTGCCCATGACTTACGTCACTACCTGTCGCTTCACCGCTTGTGTAGGATGGGCTTGAGTAAGCTTTTGAAATTGATAACAAGAAGTCACGGTTGTCATGGAAACGGACCTTGTTTCTTGACAATATGCCTTCTCCAACAAATTTTGTAAGAATGGAAAATTTTTCAAATAAATTCCAGAAGCTAAGCTTGTCCGTTATACTTTTTGAGCCATTCTAGTTTTGAATATAATTTCATATAGGTTGGAAAATTAGTACTGAAAACGATTTTAAAGGGGTGTTTAATTCAGATATCGATTTTTATTTTTAAAATATGGGGTAAAACAACGCTTCTTTTATTTTTTGCTACAGACAATTCCAATCCTTTAGACGTGTACCTAAATGATGGACAATGTGACTACCGACCTCTTTCAAGTCAAGGGTGCGATGAAAATTTCATCCTAATTCCCGAGGTATAATAACATTTGACCTTTGGACTAAACCCAAAGGCTCATTATCGCAAAGGTTTAATTGTTGAACCCTTCATTCCATATGAGAGGGCTTATATTTCATTTTGTTAATAAGTGTGATCATTTGAACCTGGTAAAGGTGTCTTTTGTGTTGTGTCAACTCATCTACATAATGGCTGTATTTTATTACATGTGTTCTAAGTACCGAGGGTTTTACTGCTTCTAAATGTTGCTTGTAATGTTTAGGACACATCTGCTATTAATTTTAGAGCGGACGCGATTTCATTGAGATAGGGGAAGAATCATCAAGTCATCGTTGGTGCAGGTGTTGTGTCTATAACGTTAAACTCTATCGTACAATCGCATTCATGTTCGTGTGTGTACGTATAATTTATATTAGGTATATTTATTATGGCTTACCAAGAAACGTACAAGGATCCGGTAAACAAATTAATCGATGTTTAATTTTATTATTCATGTGAACCGCTGAGGAATCCTTAGTAATGAATTTAATATTTTTTCTTTATATCATTACTGACATGATAGCCGGAAAACTCTCCGATTAATTCGTCCAATTTTCAACGATGAACGTCCACTTTCGACAGAATAAGAGAGGATATTTTCCAAGTTTTAGTTCTCTAATGGGCAACGATATTTTTTTAAAGGTTTTGGTCCGCAGTTCACAAACTGATATATAATATTTATTTTATCACATAGTTTCTTATTATCTGTCTTCCGTACATACCTATCGCGGTCATCGTACAATTTTCCTTTCTCCCTGTGTCCTGTGTTAAACACTAGAACTTGGCCTTTAATATCTCAAGGTTTGCAGACTTATTTCCTAAAGTTGTTTAAACATACCGTAAATATTATTGTTTTTTTTTTACCCAGGAAAGAGAAGACCCCGTCGTCGACTCCTGCACCAGCGCTTCCATCCGGTGGCGACGCCCACTCCAACCTTATGGCAGCCATCCGTCAAGCAGGCGGAGCTGGTCGTGCCAAGCTCCGCTCGGCTTCAGAATCTACACCACAAAAGGTAAGAAATTCACCATCAGTAGTGGAAAGCTTTTTTATGTGATAAGCCAGTGCAGACGAATTACCCGATGGTAAGCAATCATCGCCGCCCATGGACACCCGCAACAAAAGAGGAGTTACGAGTGCGTTGCTAAACTTTTGGGGATTAGGGATTGGGTGAGAAAGGATTGGGCCTCCGGTAACCTCACTCACAAGGCGAAACACAAGCTGTTTGAAAATCCCAATATGGTCACCAAATGAGTTTTTTTTAGCCCTCAGCAACTCACTCGGTTCCAAATGTACATAATATAACAAATTGGTATTGGATCAAATGGGTATTGAATTCCCGTCTTTGTGTAAAACTTTTTGACTTGTACTTGCGGCAATATTGCTAAACTATAACAAAGTTTGAACATGTTTTAGTCGCTTTGATGTACTTCAGCAACTATTTGATTTGCCCAAACCTCTCCTTTATTGCTCTGAAGTCTATTGTTGTCTCTTACTATAATTGAAAGAGTCATTCGCGCATTAATTTCGGGTTTATCCAAGAAGCTACCTACTACGGATATATCATAAAGCCTATCATGTCTTTCCTCCTCAGTCCGAACCGAAAATTGTTTGGATAGTCCGTATGAATCAACTACGACACTTATCCAGCTTGAAAAAAAGATGATAAGGCATTGAGACAACGTTTTTAATTTTTAAATTATTTTCCTTAATGTAACAAGAAACGGGAGTTTACGTTACATCAAAAAAAAAAATATCAAGAAATTCCTTAAAAATTCTACAAATTGACACATTTATTAATTTTAATTACTTATTTAATAATGATTTTAAAAGAAATACACTGTTCTGACAACACTTTCAAAATGGTCCTGAATACACACCGAACTTTGCGTGTCGAAAGTTATATGTTAAGTTATCAGTCAACATTTATCCGAATGTTAAAATAAGCAGAACCAGTTATTGGAAATTCTATGAATTACATCTCGAAAAACAATAACAAGTTTTATCTTCGAAATACTTGACTATCGTGCATCAGAATTATGAAAATGACCGGGCGTGACCTTTAAGATAACTGATGAGATATTGAACTGGTTATATCTACAGCATACGAACAAAAAAACTAACTTAAATCGAATTTATTGTGAACTGTATTAATTTAAAGAAACATTTATGTCGAAAAAAAATTTTATTCTGGTCATGGCCTACTTGTGCCCTAAATTTCATTTAAATCAGCTTAGCAGTTTCTGCTAACAAACATCATTCTATCTATAATGATAAAATTGCGTGTATTCTATACTTTGTAATAGGAATTGTAATTAACTGCAAGTAGTTGACATTTTCATGTACTAACACATTAAATGGCGCGTCTTCTCAGTAATCATATTTACTATTTCGTTTTAAATAAAGCCGTAGCGTAGTTACATGCGTATTACAAGAGTAAAAAAACCCTAAGTATTTAACGCGTAAATCTTAGGAGTTCGCAGAAATAGTAATGTGAGCCATTGAGGACCAATTAACATTTTACGACGCGCCCCATTGCAAGCGTACAATCAACGAGAAAACGTTTCGATGATGAGTTAAAATAAATCGCAATTAAAACAAAGTCTGTATATTAACTTGGTACCTTTTAGTGAATATGCGCCTATTGATATCGTGGTATTTAAATAGAATAGTATTAGAAATGTTGTCAATAAAAATGTTTTTTTTTTACTTGCAATAAACTAGTGCTTGACTGCGATTCCACCTGATGGTAAACAGTGATGCAATCGTTGATGGTAAGGCGCACTAGTTTATTAAGAGCCTATTCACTCTAGCCTTGAAGACACCTAAATTGTATTCGGACGGAAAGACTGCAGCCGGCAAACTGTTCCAATCCCTCGATGTAATGTAATTAGTGGATTCGTCTTGAGCGATTTATTTGTGCTGTGTATATACTACAGTTTTTGCTGGTGACAGTACAAGCTTTAGAGAATCGTTGAAAGTTGTGTTCGATATACAATTAACGTATTCTACGAATTAATTAAATAAGGAGAGATTATTTTTGCCCATCACATTATTATTGTTGCTATATCGACTCGTAGAAATTACGTACATTAAACAAAAAAGTTATTTGCAAAGGTACTTATTAAGTCAGTCTTTCAAAAGCGATTTCTCGTTAATTAATACATCAGCAGTAACATTCTAATTAAAATGATTCGTTGGAGTATTATACGATACATGAGAACGCGGCTCCGAATGATGACAGAAAACATTTGTTGTTTACGTCTGGATACAGACACTTGGCGTCTAGCCGTAATTTTGAGTACACACACACGCACACATGTTTCTATACGAACATAATGGGTAGTCGGCTTTTTGTAGGCCTTCATTTTTATGTACATCGAGCCAAATGTCTACGGATTAAGATTGAGGAGTATATTTGGCAATTAACGTCTGTGTACTTACACGGGGTATTCCTAAACAATATTGCACTGTTCTTAGTATACTACGTAAGTACGGTTTAGGCTAGTTTCTATTCATTACGTAATACAAATATTTAAGTGGCTATCTATCTACATCATAGGCCTCATTACACATGCTTCCCAGTACTCTATTGTATTCTTATCTAAACTATCTATAATAGTTTCAATTTTTGTTAGTTAAGCAACGAAACCTTGGTAGTCGGTGCACCCACATAATTACGAGCACAGACTGACGTTTCACAGAAGCCGCGATAATTGTGCGCCAGGCTATTTCGCTTCTAAGAAAGCCCATTATAATGCATGATAAAGTTACGATAGTGGTATCAGCACCCATTGTGAGCGTCTCCACGTGTTTATTGCATTCTTGTTTACTATACATATTTTTTCCTTATTTATTAATGACGTCGCTAGATTATCTATGCGCATTTTTACCTCGGAACCTTGAACGCCTGGGATTCTGCTGACTAGTTAAAATTAAACGCAATGCCGCGTCGGCGGTGAGTAAACATACATATTGTGAATGAACAGACTTGTGTGTGTTTTTTGCGTATATAAACATTGACGATTTATGATGGCAACATTGACGTATTTGGATTTTACTTGAAATCGGAATAGAAGAAATATTTATCCGTTGCATACATCACGATGTACATAAAGTAGATCAAATGAGAATATATGTGAGTGGAATCCAGAGCGGCATGTAAACAGTTCTCGTCAGGGGACCTCGAGTCTATGTGCACATGAAACTAGTAAATATCGAAAACCTCTTGGAAATTCTCACTGTGTAACCGCACTCAAATACATACTGTAAGGAATTTCTAAATGCATTTATTTTAATTGCATGAAATTGCGCTTCGCTACGCTAGTTTCTAAATATATTGCTACTTTAATGAATCTACCTACATAAATTTATAAGGATCTTGAAGCTATTAAGTGTATTACAGATTTGAAAATGATATGCCGTAAGCTGTAGAGTAAATCTTAGAAGCTGTCGAGCTGCTAGTAACGGTGATAACGGTAGAATATTTATTATTGATAAACAAATGGTCACAAATGTGCAAAAAATGATATTTCTAAAAGTCGTGCTTTTTTTATTGGGACTTGCCTGCCGCAACCTCCCAAACCGCTGCAAGTCCTGTAAGCCAGGATCTATTGTAGATACAACCATGAAAACACCGGAACACTGAAGTCCGGCGCGTGCCTGGGACATGAAAGACTGTCTTTGATCCCTCAACGAAATAAATCAGAAGATATTATTGGAGGAGAAGAAAAAACGAAATAGTTTCGCTTAAAGTCGTGCATACTAAGCGTTCATTGTTATTTGAACAGAGTTGCGTAATAGTGTCGTAAATGCAGTTATTATCGGGTACAGTCGAGAACATCGCCTGAGCGTGGGTTGTGACGCCAATATCTTATCTGTAATTTTGTCGCAGATTGTACAGGATAAAATTTTATTCATAAAAACTTTTTGTTTGTATCTTATGGTGACGCATTGTTTGATTCATTTGTTTTTTTTTTTTGGAGTCGTGATCTGCAATTTTTTTCGCAGCACCCGGGCCTTTCCAAAATCCTAACGTACATAGTTATTTCACAGCGTTACTGCTTCACAATTCTTGAGAACGAATATACGTTTTTCCAATGCTGAAATACAGTGATAATTACATACGTATCATTCGTTTTTTTCTCGCTAACTAAAGGTGATAACATCTTGAGGTGGTTGGACAACAGTTGCTTGTTTAAATTGCTCTTGTACGAGTTGTACATGTGAATACGTGTAATTTATCGTGTTTAAAGTTTGCGATAGTTGTACGGCAGTGACAGGTTGATAGACGGCTGTCGGCATCATTACGTTGTATTTATCTGTTGATTGTTACACCTCAACAGTACGTACGACGGAATTAATAATTACAGAACCTACACTACGTCTTCTAAGAATCTATCTAAATATATTCCAATTAATGATATTTCTAAAATTTTCCTCTCGACGACCCTCAGCTTTAATGTAGCTTATTACAATACCAAAAACATAAACAAGCTGTACAATAGATGTGTTTTTTTTTCGCAGTCTTATTATCATATTGAACAGCTTTTCACTTCCTTAAATAGACGCACGCAAATAACAGTCAGAACTATCGTAGAGTGCACGCGGCAACCGCTGCTTTGTTTGGCGGAACTAATCGTATTGATGTCCCTTCAGATATTTGTTGTCGCCGTAACACACAAAGACAGCAATAAAATGTCTTCCCAAACATTTATTTAGCGCGCGTCGTGTGGTATCGATCGTCTTACAGTTTAACGGAATCCGCGCTTCTCATCATTCCACTTTGTTGTGCGTTTCCAGCTAACGTTGTGTATGCTTCCAGTTAACGCATGCATGTATGCATCTCCTGCCTCCATGTGATTTGTCCGTATATTCAAATTGGGCCTTAAATCTCTGAACCTACTGTACTTAGCCAGAATGCGGAACAAGAACAACATTCTATGAATCCAATGTTTTTTGTTGCCTCCATTATTCTGTGAATCAGATAATATTATATATTTAGTCTTCGACTGC